CTCTATGGCCTTGGCGCTGCCCCCGGCCACATTCTACGCTTTCCAAGACTCATAGATGGTAACTCAGTATTACTAATTTTAAGACGGCCCTTATGAGCTCCTATGATTGACGCCATTATTAGCTGTCATGGGTTTTCTTGACACACACACACAAACATCCAGATGCATTCGTTTGGGGTTTCCTGTAACTTCTATTTCTGTTCAGTCAGTCCCAATAAAAAGGACATAAAAGGACAAAGCCATGACTCAGAATCAGAGAGAAAATGGGGACAGGCGCTGTGGCTGGAGACTGGCTTTGGTGTCTGTCCTCGCTCCGCCACGCAGCTCACAGAAGACATAGCACAGGGAAACCACATAAGTTTTGGTAGGCTAAGGGGCTGAGGTCGGATCGGTAATGGCTTGGTAGTACCTTGGCCAAGTCTTGCCAGGGCTCTGATGAATGGCATTAACTTCACCAGAGACCTACACAGAAACCGCATCCCTTTTAACTGCCTTCTGATTGGGGGTGAAGCCAATCAGGAACGGCACATATACAAGCAAACCGACAGATACTGACCATGGAGTGACTGCCCATCATTCCCAAATTCGGCCTCCTCTATCTGCCCCTCGGAACTCTGTAGCAAGCAGCACCTACCATATGAACTCTAAAAGGGAAGGTCACCACAGAGCCATTCTGGAGAAGGGTGTACTGAATGGAAGATTCAAACTCCGCCCACATGTGAGGAGGCTGGCCAGCTCGGACAGGTGAGTAGAGAGGCTCTACTGTACTGTGAGACTCCAAGTACAGACATCACTACAGCAGCAGCATCTCTCCAGCGGCTCAAGGACATCTCTCTCTTGCCAGCTCTTGAAAGAGGAACATTGCCTGCTTGCTCAGCCTTCCCTTGAACCCTCCATGTTCCGCTGACAAGCTCTGCTGTGCTCTGCTGCCCAAGGCTGCCTGGAGAGCTGCTGCTTCTATCTTTCCACAGGGTTAGGGAGGTATAGACAGCCCATGAGGGTCAGGAAGCATTAAGAACAGCACGTAGAAGGTAGGAACAAGTTATGTAAACGATGGCACTGAAGCATAGTAAAAAAATCACAAATTGAAGAAACGAGTTATGTCCCTTCAGCTCTGCAGAGAAGGCGACAGCTTCACTCCCCAGCCTCTGGTGCTTCTCGGGGCTTCTTGATGTGCAGCCCATCCTAGAGTCCATCTACTTGGTGGTAAAGAAATGTCCAGTAGAATCTTCCTGCACTTAGCCCTCTGCAGAACTTTACAGCAGGCAGGGTGTCAGAACAAACGTTCAGCTGAGTGTGAGCTTAGAGCACGTCTAGTATTGTACATGCTCAGGGATCTCTGATCCTACTGCTTGCATTTTACACCTTCGAGAATATTGGTGTGCGGGGATGCACACTATGGACTTTGCAGGTTCTGAAAACCAAGCGTTGAGAGCTGGTAACATTTTTCTTCCGTTTCCTCCTCTTTTTCTGTGGTATCAGAGAGACCCCGTGGGTTGAGGACCAGGATGGTGAAGGATGAAAGCAGCTCAGTGTGGAGAATCAGAGCATCCTCATCTACATGGTGTGGCAGAGGAGGCAAGCAGGAGCTGGATCCATCAAACAGACAGACACGGAGGAGGGCAGGAACAGTTTACTAATAAAGAAGCAGGCTCTGAGATGGGGCGGGAAATGGTCGTAATAATCCCTGTGGAACTCGCATGAACTTGTGGTTTGCTACATGTGCAGGTCAATTCAGACATAAATGTGTGTAAAGAACAGTGCGTGTCTCCCTGGAAAGAGGCAGGATCTGGGAACACATGAGGAGCAGACACAGACGCCAGCTGGGGACTCCCACTGGAGCAACCATGAAAATAATGGAATAAATCATAGAATAAAATAGGACGCCCCAGTCCACCGACTTACTAGGAAATGAATACAGAGTTTGATGAGGGAATGTGATATTTACATAACTTCAGAAAAAATGCGGAGGTTGAAAGGCATCTTCTAAAACGAATACTCATTCATGTACACCAAGGGGAAAATTCTTTCCATCTGCTGGACCTCATGCTAAGTTCAAATGGTCAGGGCGTTAAAGCCACAGTGGGAATTCCCCATTTATCGGAGCAAGTGTGCCCCAGACAATCCATGGCAAGAAGGTGCATTCAGACACAACCCTTTGTGTACATCAATGGGCCCAGTGGAAAACTCTGGGCTGGAGACCCATCCTCTAGTGGACAGATGTTCAGAGTGGCGTTTGCAGTATGAACACAGCTAGCTTGTAGGACAGTCCGGGTATGAAACTGTGAGGCTCTGAACGAAGTTGGTAAAAGGAAGTAAAATGCAATGCAGTGCTTTTCACGATTGAGGGGAAACTGATTGCTTTGAAGTTCTTTCATGTGGAAGAGCCATCAGATGCCAGCTCTGAGAAGGATGTAAGGGCCAACGGCGACCACTCATCCCTTACCATGCAGTATCCTGAATGGCAGGCATTGCTCCAGGGCTGGGCAGGGCATCCTGGGTAGGATACACACACACCAAGGCAAGGCGCAGCATAACTGAGATAGAAGCTAGTCTTGGAGACAGGACCCATGCGTCTGTTCCCTTCGGTGTCTTTCTACTTTCTTACCTGTACCTCCGGCCATCCTCCCAGGTCCAGCTTCGGGGCTATCCTCTCCACAGTGGCCCAGGCAAAAGAACAGACCTTCCCTGAGCAGACTGTGAGAAGCTGCCTCCATTCCACACCCCACAGGACGGACTGGTCGCAAGCTCAGACACTGTATGTGCAACTCAACTCACCACTTACGTCGGTTCCCACCCACCTGCGGGCCGGCCTGCCTGCCTTAAACATCCCTGTCAAGTCTACAGGGAGAAAAACGTGGCCAGAGCTAAATTTGAAAAATGCTCCTGTTTGTTGACTTTGAAAACCTGTATTTGTAACTGGTCTCTCCAGGCATCCCCTGGCTCATCAAAGCCCACACACTTACCTGACTTGGCCAAGGCAGGCTACTGAAAACTTATCTACTGCCTGCTGCTCTGCAGTAGGCCAGAACGCAAACAGGAACTGAAAGCCAGAGCACTGGTCAGCTGACAGGAGCTGAGAGCTGCTGTGCTATCAGTCAGTTCTCGCTGTGGTTAGCCTGCATGGGACCATAGGACTCTATCACCCTCATTACTGCCCATGACCCATTTCAGCCCACGGCCTTTCCATCGGGCCGGCCGATTTGAATGCAGGCTGCTCTTAAGAAATATTCAAACAGGCCCCATCTTAAAGGATGATGGCTTTCCCGTTTTAAAACAAAAGCCGACTAAGGTAAAGTCTGAGGAATCGGGCAAGGCCTGCCTCCCTTGCTCCTCCAAGAACATGAGATAAACACAGTGAGCAGCAGCACACCCTCTGAACCCCGAGTGAAGGGACAAAGGACACAGCTGTGCACTCAAGAGGCACAAAGGACCGGGTCAGGAAGAGGGGACTGTGGGAATGTGGGGCACAGCCCCCGGAGGAGGCCGTATCCCTATCCCAGCAAATATGCAAGGCTAGCTCCTCCCTCTAACACAGAAGAGCTAAGGACTGCTGCTTCTGATCAAATCCTTGCTAATGTCTAGCCACAGAGCAACTGTATAAACCACACACCCTGTGCTGGGGAGAGCCAGGTATTGAAATTGCACCACTGTTTTATTGACAAGCGCACCAGATAAAACCTGTTAAACTCAGTGCATTTCAGACGTGCCTCTTACAGACGTCAAGTCAGATGTTGCTTCTGAGCCAATCAGAAAGCCTTTTTTTTTTTTTTTAATTGGCAAATAGGCGCCTTCACGTCAATCAACACAGCAGTTTTTAATGGTACTTTTTTTTTTTAAACAGTTGTCCTGAGGATAAGCAATTTAAAATGTTTTAACATTTTGCCTGCGCCTACTGTGTAATTGTTAAATGAACAGGATGGATGGGGACGAGTACTTGCTGCACAAGTCTGACTGATAAAGACCGGACGTAACAGCTGATGTTAGAGGGGACTTGGCATTAAACTTGCTTAGGAAATATAAATACAAAAAGTAGGATTCAGCTAAAGGAGTGCTGCCTCTAACATACCTCAAAGGAAAGTGGCACACTAACTAGCCATATGTGTTAGAAATGTCAGAAACCGCACCTCTAACACAACCGAGGCTTAGGCTTGCTGAGAATGTTTCTGCTAAGATTTGCCCCGTAAGATTGCCACTTCCCATCAGTCCCTATCCCCACAACAGGGTCATCAGGCCCTACTCACTATCAAAAGAACACACCTTCACCAATTTCTTCAAAGTGTGTGTGTGGGGGGGGGGCGCTGGAAAACATCTGCCCATAAATTCCTGGCCTTCTCACCAAGAAGGACATAACTCTGCCAGACAGGCAGATGACCCTGGGTAACAACTATTGAACAGAGCAACATTAGTCTATTTCAAAATAACTGTGAACAGTATCCTTGCTGTGTAAATCTACTGTCCCACCAAAATGGCAAAACTTGGAAGTGTCTGTCTCTATAAAACACGTTTAATTGCTCAAAATGAACTCGGGGCAGGGACCTAAAGGAGATTTACTGATGGCATAGCCCAACATCTGTATAAACTGCCAAGGATTTCTGCTCACGGCCATTCACTGGGACATGGTGATCTTGGTTTGATCCCCAGAACATATGCTGAAGAAAATGGTCCCCAAAATTTGTCTTCTGACCTCTATATAGATTCCACAGTATGTACACACTGACCCCCAACACACACACAATAAACTTCTTTAAATTTAAAAAAAAAAAAAGAATGGGATGATTTAAACTTGACCCCCCCCCAAAAAAAATTGCTGTGCCAAGACTTCCAAGTCCATATTACCAGTGTGCATCTAGCTACTTTTGGACAGGAAATAAGCTCTGACACCAGCTGTTTGCTGTCGGCTGGCAGACAGAACATGGGAGCTCCTACTAATTAAGACTGGACAAAAACCAACTCATTACCACACAAGGAAAAAAAAAAAGCCAAACACATTGTAAGAGACCTTTGAGTGGATTTTTAGAAAGCAGTAACTTGTGACTTTTTCTTACTTTGTGGAACATAAAATACTTCCAAAATGTGAGCATCAGCGTTGGGTCTTTGCAGGTGGAGGATAGAAGATTGGACCATCTTCACAGACCATCATCTCACGTTTCGAAGCCCCCGTGGCCAGCTGGGCTTCCTGCTTGGAGGACAGCTGCTCACCTGGCTCTGTGCAGTTTCGCAGATGGAAGTCCTCCTTGGTGAAGCACAACTCTATCTGACCAAGTGTCTGTACCTCCTCCCCCTGAAAAGAGGAAAACGCGGACATTCCAGAACTCAAAAGAGCCATGGATCATCATGCAGCCGGGGATCACAATACTTCAGCACTTAAACAACAAAAGCCCAAAAGCCCCAGCACCAGGACACAGACTCCAGACTCTGAGCAAAGCTTCTCTGAACAAAGGCAGGCTGATGCTCGTGTGTGTGTGTGTGTGTGTGTGTGTGTGTGTGTGTGTGTGTGTGTGTGTGTGGTGGGGGGAGGGGCACACCTGGGTAGAGGCTTGTTCCTCACATCACCTAGGGCTCACCTCTCCTTGCCTGGAAGCCTAGACAGAGGTAGTGTTTTCAGCTTGGAAGACAAACAAAACAAAACAAAAAGTGCCCATAGCACACATGGGGATCCTGGCAAAGTAAACGTCAAGATAATAGATCCTGGCAGCCAAACGAATCTCAATTTTGTTTGTAAGCTGGAGGGAAAAAAAAACTGCAATTTTATCTAGAAATTAGACAGTAAACTACAATTAAAGTGATTGAGAGTGGCCAATGTAAGAGCTTAGAAACTACCAGGTGTGGCAGCTCCCAGAGAGACGGGTGGATCTCTGTAAGGTGGAGGCCAGACTGGTCCTATAGAGCCAGTGCCAGGACAGCCAGTTATATAACAGAGAGACCACCGTCTCAAAAACAAAATCAAACAAATAAATAAACGGAAAAAGCAAAAAAAAAGAAATCTTAGAAACTTACAAATGTTTAACTTAGAACTATATCTCCCTCTCCTCCCTCTCCCTTCCCCTCCTAACAAAATATTCTTGCTAGAATGAAATGGTGTAAAATCAAAGCCTACAGTGTTTCCCGGAACTAGTCTTTGACCAAACAGCTGCCATCTTGGTGGTTTCAGCTGTGCGACTTGCAAAAGATCATCCCATCTAGACTCCTTCATGTGACCCTCACCTGCATATCCAGCTGCTTCCTATCTCCCTTTGTAGGCAACTCAACTGCTTGTGGTCTCCGCGGGGCTTGAATATATAGGCTGGAGAAGACTAGAAGTGGCCATGTGGCTCTGGAAAAGCCCTCACCGACGCTGGGGTAAAGACATTCTGGTGTGGGCGTTTTAGGAGAGTGGCACCCACCCATGCCCCGGTAGGTAATCCCACACCTACGTTCTGTAACTAAGTTCAGTGAACTTTGGTGGAATCCTGCCTCGGCGTGGTTTTGAGGTTTTGAGTCCTTAAGAGGGGGCAAGCACATGGTTCTTTGTGTGTCCCCCACCCCAAGGAAGGAACTTTAGAAGCTTTCCCATGCACTTGCCTATATACATATATACACGGGAAATATGCCAAAATGCAACTCTGCCCAGGAAACTCCACAGTGGAGACAAAACTATCAGGAAATAAAACCATCTCTCCATAGAGACAGACAGGGTGACAGAATGCGAGTCTGACCTGTTCCGGCAGAAGGCACTGGATTTTAGGCACCACGCCGTAGATTCTGGTGAGTGCATCTCTGAAATCTGCAAGCTGATGTTAAGTGAAAGTGTTAGCAATGAATTTCAGCAGGAGGATTCTCACACACTCCCTGGTTTTGTCTTTTAAAGGGTAACCCCCCCACACACACACACAAGACCTGGAGTAAAGCTTGAGGGTACCCTGGATCCATCACTGAAGGGCAGATCACAGCCATCTTACCAACCTGGGCTCTACCCAAGAGGCCCAATCATCCCCAAGATTTTCTTTCCTCTCTGCTCCCCCTACCTCTCCACTGGACAGCTTGATTCTTCCCTGTCTCCAGCCCAGCGCAGCTCAGCTTCTTCCTCTACACTAACTACCCTGCCTAAAACCACCTATGCCAAGTGACTGTCGGAACCCTCAAAGCTTTTCCGAAGGCCTTCCCACTCCTGAAGCCCTCCCCACTGCAGGCCCCTTCTCTGCAGGGGGCGCAGCCGCCATCACAGGGCACCCACCTCCTATCAGTGAACTACGAAATTAGACCATGTGTGCTCCATCACAGGATGAGCACCCTCCTTGCCGATCACACTCCACTCTGGAGCACCCTCCTCCTCTCCTCTCCTACAAGAGACGCTTCTCTACCCACCATCTACCCGCCCTCTCTGCCGTGGACTTTGGCAGAGGCACTTCTATCCACCTGTGCAGCCTCTTGCGACCCTCAAATTCACATGGTCTGGTTGTATCGATCGCCTTCCCCTTTACTGAGTACCACAGAGAGGCCAGGGCCTGCCCTACACAAGACAAGTCCAGAGGCTGCCACAAGGCTCAGCCTTAATCATTCCTCCCTTTGCCCTTGGTCTCTAGCACCAGGGGATCAGAACGCTGTTTGAGACACAGCTTCATCAGGAACTTCCCGGCGCTGCCTGTGTCTCACAGCATGACCTGGCTCTTGCCAGTGCCCAGTCCCTATGCCACACACACTCTTACTCCGGGGTCTCCAAAGAGACCTGCCTTCCCGCTATGGCTGTGCTCGCTACCACACAAACTGTGAACCCTGCACTCCACCTGCCAGTGGAGTCTTCCGCCAGGTGCCCCCTCACCACCACCACCACCACCACCACCAAGGGGTCCAGCAGCACCAATGTGCCTTAGAGCAAACGAGCACACACAGGCTCGGATGCTGGGTGCAGAGCTGAAACCCTGCTGCTAAGTCAAACGCTTCGGATCCCTTTTCCAAGTCCAGGTCTGTTATCCCTGCAACCTTACCGAGTGCATGAGGCTGTTCTTGCCATTCCTGTCACCATGGATACCATCTCTGAACATCAAGCCAGGTGAAGCTGTAGACACCACCACCCCATCCAGCTTAAGCACGAGTCCAGGTGAGCTAGGGGAAACCCTACAAAGCCTCGCCCTGTGGCTGCCCACAGGGTTCTAACTTAAGTGGCGGCTAAAGCGTTGACCTCAAGCCCAGCCAGCCTCCAACTCCCTACTGTCCAGTGGAGATGCACATCAACGGGAAAAGGAACGCACAGTCCTACAGACAAAGCTGTAGGGTTATGTCACACACTGTCACACACGGCAGAGTCACTGCAGTGTCCATCCCTGGCCCACAATGGCTCTCCTCTTGCACTGTTTGTAAAGCCACACCTTATAATAAGCACAAAAACAAACAAACAAACAAAAAAAAAAAACCACCTCAGAGAATCGCCCTAAAGCGACCATGTGCAAACTCTCCCGTAAGCCCGGGCATATTTTTAAGCTTCTGAGTGAGATATCCCTATGCAAAATAAAATAAAAAAAGACAACCCACAGTTGACGCATACGTCCATCTTAGTCAACAAGATGCACCATTATTTTCTGTGTCATGTCGTGTACTCGAAAGACAAAATGCGGATTTATTTCCCCTCAAACACCATGACAGCTCTGTAGACTAGGCTGGCTTCGAATCACAGAGATCCGCCAGCCTCTGCCTTCCAGAGTGCTGGGACTAAAGGCGTGTTCCGCCACCGCCCAGCTGTATAAACGCCTTTTCTAACTCATCCACAGTCCACCCCATGCTGAACCTGCAGGACCTCTGCTGGGCAGAACCGTGGCTCTATGCCTCCAAGTCAGTGGCCTAAGCAACCTTCGGTGCATGCTCAGATGCAAACACATACAACTCAAGGAGAACCATTTCAAGCAGTCGGCGCTAGGTTATTTTAAAACCCAAGCTCAGCTCACAAGGTGAATGGATCCTGCCAAATGTCCCCACCAATGACAAACACTAGGCACAAGACAGAAGGAGAAAGGTAAGGCTTACCTGGTAGTAATTGATAGATGGCTTGATCCCAAACTTTAGCAGTACACTAAAATAAAATTTGAAAATCGGCTGCATTATGACAGTACATAGCACTTTGCTCTTCTCACCGGATCCCAGAGTGAAAATTAGGACACTTTTTAAAGAAGCGTGTCCTCCCCACTTCCATTAACAAGAACAGCAGAGACGCAGTCCCCCAGTCTATGCGGGCACTTCTAGGATCTGAAGCGGCAGAGCAGGTACCAGTCCACACCACCCCATCCAAAGCAACATACCCTGTGCGACCTGCAAGATAGCTTAGCAGGGCTCACCCTGAAGGTCTGTGCTGGGCAGACCTTCAAGGAATTAAAAGACACATAGCCTAGAATCCTATCATAGTTTCTCGAAACACGCTTAAATCCCTAGACCACTCACTCTGAAGGAATTCTCTGGATAGATCAGGCTTGTGATCCAAAGGGGTAGGTTTGAGGCTGCATGTCCTTCTAATTGCCATCAGTCTGTGGCAGCAAGGGACAAGGTCCCTGGAACCCCAGAAATGCACCCCCCACACACACAAAGCCACCTAAGTGTGACACTGCCTGCCCTGGCTTGTCAGTCTATGAACAACACAGGGTTCCAAGAAAGTATAAAATATTCCAACTTCAAAGCAACATTTACTATAAGTTAAAAAAACTTTAGTGCTCTGAATAACATGTTATGTTAACGTGTTAATGTAATTTTTGACCAGAGGGTTTTTTTTTTAAACTGTTGTTTTTTAATAGCATTACCAGAAAATGTTGCTGAGCATCTGTGGGTTAAAAGCACTGTAGGAGTCTCTAAGGAGGAGCTAGGGGGGTTCAGAGGATACAGACAGGAGCTACCAGTCACTCTGGCCACTCTCAGATCATAGCAAGAGTTATTCTTCTCCTGTTTGTTACGTGAATTAGCCTCAACTCACACCACAGTGTGTGGCTACCAGGCTGGTACCTTCTCACCAGAAGATGCTCCCAGCCTTCCTGCCGCCTTCCTGTGCTCCAGAAGCACATGACTCGCCTTCTTGAGGGGTTCCTCACAGTGGCTTCCAAGAGCCTCGTAGATTTCCAAAAATCCTTCACTTTGGAGGTCAAGGATTACTGCATGAGACACTGTCTTCTCAGAAAACCCCACAGGTTAAATAAACTATATACAGAACTCACGATGCCGAGGGCCTGTTACAGTCCCTGGTACGTACCTCCCAGTATGTACTTAATAATGCAGATATTTGGACATTTTATTTTGTTTTGAGACAGGGTCTCACTGTGGAGCCCTGGCTCTCCTGGAATTTGCTGTGCAGAGCAAGCTGGACTCAACCTTACAGAGATCCACCTGCCTCTGTCTCCAAAGTGCTGGGGTGAAAGGCGTGTGCCACCATACCCAGCCTAATAAGGCAAAATTTTAAAAGAAAAAAAGCAACTTCAAAATCTGAGCACTACCCAACCATTCTTTTTATATCACAGGGATAAGATCTAAAGAGGTCTTACAACCAAATCGGACGATTTATGTCAGAAAGGATCACAAGGCCTTCGGTCCTATGCTTCAAGGCCTTCTCAGGCTTTTTATTTTATTTTATTTTTGGTTATCTCATCTCTCCAAAGGCACCCGCCTTTCCTGTTCTACTGCCAGATTAATTGATCAAACCCCAGCTGCTTTTGAGACCCTGAAAACTATGTGTGAGAAGATGACACATCATCTTTCTGTGCTAAAGATGCAAAGCCTGTGTGCAGAGGACCAATCGGGGCTTACTCATCTCTTCAGCAGATCGAATTCATGAACCTCAAATATGGTTGATGAGCAAAGGATCTTGGGATTATTCTCGTCTGAAGAACTGCTCTGAGTAGAACAAGCTGTGCAAATGGCAAGCAGTGTGCAGACGCTGAAAAACTCCCTCGTTATCAGCAGACATTTATTCCTCACATGTCTAGAGGCTGGGGACTCTTGAGATCAAAGTTCTGTGCCTGGTGGTCTCACAGTCTGTATATCTGTGTCCTTACATGGGGGCGGGGTTAACAAGCTCCCTGACCCTCCAGAGGTTGCTGTAGGGGAACTAATTCCACTCATGACAGCTCCATACTCATGGACCACCTGCCTAGGGACGAAGATTTCAGTCTACAAATTCTGAAAGCTATCTACACTCAGCCCACTGCAGGCTGAGCCCCTACTCTGAGCCCTCTCCTTAATCTCGCAGAGTTCGTTGGTTTATAGTGTTCACTCACAATAAGCAACACTTAAGAGCCTGCAAGATGGCTCAGCCGAACTACCCGGGTTCAATCCCCAGGACCCACCCGTGCAATTTGTGGAAGAGAACCATCTCCAAAGTTGTCCTCTGACCTCCCCCTATGCATGTGTGCATGAGCGTGCGCACGCACGCGCACACACACACACACACACACACTAATAAACAATAAACAAGAAACACTTAATACACTTGGCACAATACAACATGTTGTTCTTACATATTTACTACCATCCAGAACTGAGGTCAGGGCAGGCAGTAAAAATCTACATGGATTTGGCTTATTTCTAGGGCTTAAAGGACCCTTGGCCACCACCTCACACTGGTTCAAGGAGCACTACAACCAGATACGAAGATCGACTGACGCCCGGTGCCTCTAGGGAAATGATCTTAAGGCAGCAACTTTTCCAGAGACGTGCCCGCCAGTCAGGCTTCACTTCCCAGGGGCCGATGATCATTAATAACACCATGAGGCAGGCTAGGTCTGTGCACTCTGTGGTCGTAAACTAAAATCATCAAAGACTTTTCAGGGGCTCAATTACTTCCCGGGAGTGAGCCCAGCACACCACTTTTGGGGACCGTGACACACAGGTCGTTAGCAGGAGTGGCTGACCTCAAGTCAATGACAGAAAGCCTACGGTGAGATGTGTACACACCTGTTGAGGTCAAGCTGCTTGTACAGATCCAGGCTCTTCCCAAAGTATTTCTTCTCGGAATTGAGGGCATCCACCTGGGCAGCACACGTGCCATGTTTATCCCACTCATGTTTCCTGTGAGATTCACGGTAAGAATGCTCAGACAGGTCCTCTAGACCAGAGCTGTCACATGCACTGAGCCGTGCCACTGCATTCACAAAGCAAGGTCAGATACCCTGTGCTAAAGAGCAAGGCCCCAGCAACACGCAATGATCGCCAGAGAGCATTGCTCACTCTGCGCATGTTTTCCATGCCAGGGCATCTCTAAACCACAACACACTCCAGGCGGCGGTGGTGCACGCCTTTAATCCCAGCACTTGGGAGGCAGAGGCAGGTGGATCTCTTGTGAGTTCGAGGCCAGCCTGGTCTACGGAGTGAGTTGTAGGGCAGCTAGGATTGTTACACAGAGAAACCCCTGTCTCAGAAAAGAAAGACAAAAAGAACAAACAAAAACCCAACAGACTCAAATAATGACAATTTAACTGAGGAGGAAAATGTCACTGTTGTGACATCTGGCCCATTACACAGCAATGTGTGGTCCTCTGTAGAGCCAATGCATAACTTCGGAGAGTGGCACAATCCATTCATGACTCCATGGAAGGCCCAAAGAGGGGGCGGGGTGGTTTGTCACCATGATCCCGTTCCCCGTCAGCCTCCAAATTAACACCACTCACAGAGGTATTCTCCAATTCATTATAGCCATTAAGTTGAAGCACTTTCTAGAATACAGGCTATCAAAGACAAGTTCAAGGCTTGCCTACACTGCAAAATGAGTTCAAGGCTACCCTGAGCAACTTAGTGAGCAGCTTCCTCAGAATTAACAATACTGGGAGTCTAGCTCAGAGAGCTCAGAGTGGAGGGGACAGCCTAGATTCCATATAGTAAGCTATTCATTACCCAGGCTCTCACTGAATGTTCTGATCGTCTAAGGGTGATCACAACCATGGATCCTAAAATAGCACGCCCTCCAGAAAAAAAGTCATCCTCCACGCTATGATCCAGGAAGGGGCATTGTTTATATTCAGCTGCTTTAAATCACTTTACCAAACTTAAGCTTTTTATTCCCCTAAAAATTCTACACACAAATATTTCTAGGTTAAATTGAGGTGTCTGGAAGCTGTAATATGAATTACAAATTTTCACATTGAAAGACGATGTAGGAAAAAAAATCACCTTTACTTGAATCAATTTTATTTACTTTTAAAAGCACAGTGCTTTTCAAACAACTGGATTAATTCCAGGCTGACCTCCTGCTGACCTGGAAGGAGTCTGTCCCTGTAGACTGTCCCTGTGATACTCTCAAGTCTCTGGCCAGATCACCATGAGATCACTATCTTTAAGGCATGCTCTGTGTGTGTGTACGTCTGATTTGGATTTTTTTTTTTTTTTTTTTAAATATGCCAGCATTTGGCTTGCTAAATTTTAGGAGATATGGCTTTTTAAATGAAGCAATGGGTGAAATAACAACAGACTAGAAAAACAAGCTCGTAACATAAAAACCACCTGACCCATCCATCTTAACCCACTGGATAGAGGCCTTCAAAGCTACACACCAGAACCATTTCTTGACAAAAGGCAGCGCTCGGCCTCTAGAGACAGTCTTTCACCTGTTCTCCCTCCCACAAGCTGCCATCCAGAGCACCCTGAGAAATTCTTCACCCCCTACATTAAAAATGCATATGGCCATCGGAGACTCACACTCACCAGAACTGGCTGCGATTGGAAGATGGGTGAATTACATCGGGCCAGTAGATCTTCATGTCTCGCAAAAGGTCCTGTGTGTAATTTAAACACAAAGTTTACCCAGGACCTAACAAACTCAAATTTAACAAGCTAATATACTAAGCAAAGGGCATTCAAGCGCTGACAATTTAACTAAGCAAAATGATTGTTATGTTTCTTATGCGTGAAGTGTGTGGTGGCACACGCCTTTAATCCCAGCACTTAGGAGGCAGGGGTAAGCAGGCCTCTGAGTTCCAGACCAGCCTGGTCTACAGAGGGAATTCCAGGACAGCTGGAGCTATACAGAGAGAGAGAGAGAGAGAGAAAACCATAGACAGACAGAGGCAGAGAGAGAGAGAGAGAGAGAGAGAGAGAGAGAGAGAGAGAGAGAGAGAATATAAAGGGAATGATAAACTGATGAAAAAATGAGCCTCTAAAACTACAAAAACACATGAGGAACTTTAAATGTACTTTGATGTGTGATAGCAGCAGACTGGAAAAAGCCATGTACTGTACAACTCCAACCACAAGACATTCTGGAAAAGGGCAAATCCTGAGTCACGGTGAGATCCCTCAGCCCCAGTGAGACCTCTGACAATAGTCTAGGGAGATGATGTAACTTACAGCCAAACGAGGGCACTTTCCTGTTGGAGACACACTCCATCAGACATTAATGCTACACAAGCAAACCAGGATTCTCTGAAGGAGAAACAATAGAGCCTGGCCACTACAGACCCACTGGCCCAATGCTGGCAGAAGTCAGCTCAACCCTGCAGTTCTCAATCTCCCCCGGTGAGACGGCTAGCAGTGAAACCACTTAACCCTCCCCTCTCCTGGCCTCCTTTGCCCTGGTTGCTTTACAATCACCTTGTACAGTGGGCTCTGTGCAGCAACAGCATCATATCCAATGAGGTTCCTCCCAGGTTCAACTGTTGCTAACTGAAAACTTTGCCTCGTACCTCAGCGTGATGGCTTGCAAAATAGTGGGCACTGGCAACTTCTTATACTCTCTACAGAAACTGAGTGATTTTGGTTTTAAGGAAAATGAACTTCGTAAAAAAAAAAAATGTAATTTATTTTTATCTTCTGTTCACTGGTGTGTTGCCTGCATGTGTTGTCTCGTGGAGGATGTCAGGAAGTCCTAGGAAATGGGTGCTGGAATTGAACCCAGGTCCTCTGGAGGAGCAGCCAGTGCTCTTAATCACTGAGCCATCTCTCCAGACCCCAATGTGGTTTTAATAAATTACAGTCAGCTATGACTGGGTAGTCAGCTACAGTCAGCCTCGCTATCTACGTTTACCTCAGCATCTGTTTCCTGGAGGACCTGGCCTGACACAGACAGACTTGGCACCTGGATTCTTGAGAAACCAGAGAAGCCTGGAATTGTCTGCAGTTTTTATGTGCCGCTGGCAAACTTCTATTGCTCTCCCCAAAGTGTAGCAAGGACTGATAACACAGTAACCACCCGGTGATGGGTCACATGATAGCTGTAACGTATGCATAGTTACATAGTGTAAAGTCAGACACTTAATAAAAGACAGTTATTCCTGTCACCCAAAAACATGTTTGGCTCTTTACATTCACCTGGTGGGCCTGCCATGACCAAACACAGTTGTTGTTGGTGTCCCTTAAGGAAAGATGGAACACGTACGAGTAGGTTCAATACGCCACGGGAATCTCACAAGCATTTCTGTTAAAATCTCTCATAAGCTCATGACTTAGAATCCTACCATCTACCTGTAGCAGGGATTTTGACGCCGGAGAGGTCTATCAATTCCTCCTTGCTAAGAGTTCCTACTTCGAAATGCATAGCATCTATGGCCAGAATGACCAGCCTTGGGTACCATGTACCTACTCTCCAAGCCACAGCTGTCTGGAAGTGTGTCATCCTTACCACCCAGACCAAGGGCCCACTTAAACACTCACTGACCCAGAAGCCCCAGGGCTAAGGACTTCCTAGGGCTGGCATATGAGCATAAGAGTCTGGGCAGACAGGACAGACTCTGCTACCACCTGAACTTGCTTCTAGCAGCCACTCAGACCTAAGACAAGGAGGAGAAAGGTGGACTTTGTTTCTTCCTTTTGTGTTGATGAGGCTGCTGTAGAGTGCAGTAATTACTCCATAGACCAAGGGGCTCAGGGCTAGTGTATTCATTTATGAGGCTGCTGTAGAGTGCAGAAATTACTCCATAGACCAAGGGGCTCAGGGCTAGTGTATTCATTCCACACCCTGTGATTTTAAGCATGACTTTGAAGGCAGACTTTTGAAGAACGAGCTCATTTAGCTCAACACTCTACTTGCAATAGGGGTGTAACAAAAAGACGACGGATACCTTAATCTCGTATAAGTGGAACTGCCAGGACGGGTTGCAGTCTTCTGCTCTATCAGGCCTTGAGATCCAAATGGAAAGAGAAGAGGAATTATTAGTCTTAGTGAGGGAGCCTTGTACCTGGCATTACGACACTAGAAAGTGCTCTCCTTAAAGTCTGAACTAATCAGGGACCCCCTACTCCAAGCCAGAACGGTCCTGAGTAAGCCCTTTGTTCTGAAAAAGGGACAAACGGATTCAGTCAGGCCCAGCTTCAGACAGACAGACAGACAAGCTGGACTGTCAGGATGGGAAACAGACCGGGACTGAGTCCACTCTACAGATGGCAAATGAATATGCACACTTCAACACCACAAGTGCACGCATAGAGAAAGGGCTAAAGAGAAAGGCAGCAGCCAACCACGGTGGGGGCTGGCTGACTGTAAAATGTGTAAAACCGATTATTTGTCTGTTTATCTACTGGCCTAACACTTTGAGTTTTAAATATTTATTTATGATGGTCCCTAAGAACAAAGTAAGAGAGGAAACAGGACGTCTGCTTCTCTTTGATAATAGGTAAATCACCTATTATAAAATTTACAATTACAAATTAGGAGGCTGGAGGGATGGCTCAGTGGTTAAGAGGTTAAGAGCACCGCCGGCTGCTCTTCCAGAAAAACCCTGTGTTCAATTCCAGCACCCACATGGTGGCTCACAGCCACCTGTAACTACAGCTCCAGGGATAACGCCCACTTCTGGCATCCTTAAGCACACACACACACACACACACACACACACACACACACAGGTAAAACATCCATACACACATAAGAGTGTGTGTGTGTGTGTGTGTGTGTGTGTGTGTGTGTGTGCATACACATGAGTCTGGTCAGCTAAATAAACACCTAACAAGGGTGACATGTCTAATTATGGTGACTAGACTCAAGCTAGCTTTTCCCCAACTGCTTCTATGGCTTCTACTGAATTGGATGCTTGCCATAGTCCATGTATCGTCCAATAATCCAGAGTGTCTCGGCAGCTGTTAACTTCCTAGAGGAAAGAAAAGGAAAAAAAAAAAAAAACACACAGGTAAGGTAGGTAATTGGTTGTTTAAGTATTTATCAACTCTGTTTTCTTTTAATGTACATCAACTAGACATACGCACATTACTAATAGGAGGTAAATCCGGTGTTAGCATTGTGCAAGTATAGTTTAGCATCATACTCATGAGGAAATACCGGGCTGGGCAGCGTAGGTCAGTCCTCAAACAACTGAGCTGAAACTAGTTTTGCCCTTTTCATGCATTCACAGATATGGATGCGCACATTTACCTATGAACAATCCACTCACCAGAAGCAAACGTGTAAGAAAACCCCAATACTCTATGACTCTGAAGCCTGCTCTGGTACCAGACCCAAAGGCATCAGTAAAGCAAGAAGTACTGAACACTTGACACCAACAAGTGTAATGGAGTGAGTGTATCCCTGACTTCAACCATAAAGATAAAATCAGAGACGAAAAGATAAAAAAGACCTTCTTAGAGCCCTCTAAGGTGAAATTTTTCCATAATAAATGATAATAGAAATAAACATACTTGGGTTATCAGACCAGATGAAATGGAACAGAAGTCAGGATACACACACACACACACACACACACACACACACACACCAGTAACCAGGCAGATGTGACGCTTGGACCCACTTACTCCAGACAAACATGCACCTCTTGTCCAGTCACCTTCCCACTACGAAGCCTCTTGCTGTGGGGGGGTCAGTCTAATGAGTCCCGCTCGGGTGACTGAGTCGCTGGGGAGAGCCGCCTGCTACAGGATGACTGAATGACTAGAGCAACTGGCCGTATGCTATACCTCAGCCAACACCCCAACTCCTCTGTGAAGGAGAGCTCATGTCTCCTGTGGGTACTCTGTGACTGAGAGAAGCCCTTGACGAGCTCCAGTCAGGCTTCTATGAAGGTAACCCAGATAAGAGGAGACTTTCTTCCTCAATCAGAAAACACTGAGGTCTCTCTGGCAGATATGCCCCGGTGTAATTCATACATGTGTCTATCTCACTGGGGTGGGGTTGGGGGTGGGGGGAGGGACACACAAGACAGCAGAAGGGCACACTGAGGTAGGAGCTGTCCCATCCCTGTGGGCCATCAGTGACACTTTTACAGTGACTGATTTCCTCCGAGTTGAATCCCTCAAGTTTTAAGGCAGGAGGGCATGTCCACGCATACTCGTGGCACAGGCACACCTCCTCAAACAGGCCAGACTAGCCTTGTTCCTCCTTGAGGGCAAACTCTAGTGCTGGCCTGAAGCAGAGCTCTTTTCACATGGGCCCTGCAATGGGAGTCATCCCTGCTCTGAGAAGAGCCAATGGGGTCCTAGCTACCCCCACACCAGAGCCAGGGAACCACAGTGGTTTGGTGTAGCAAGAGCGCTACGGCAAGCTTCCAGGCCAAGAGTATGACTTGGCAACGATAACAGAAATGTCTCTTCATTTGTCAACAGGAAATTAAGACAGGGGAAGTGAAAAATAAAATTCCCACTACTCCAAGCTCAAGGAGAGACACAAAGCAGGAACTCTCTCAACCTGGGGAGAGATGATCAAACTGCATCAAAGCCGCTGGATACATAGTATCTGCTGCATAATTAAACTCAAATAGGTTTTCAGAAAAACTATCAACAAGACTAGTGCCCAATCGGATACACACAGAGATACTGTATTTGTGTGTGTGTGGGGGGGGGGCTGAATGAATTGACTCCCACAGGTACATGTATCTGAACGCTCAGTTCCAAAATTGGTGGCACTCTCTGGGAGGTGTGGCTTCATTGAAGGAGGTTTACGGAGCTTTGAAGTTTCCAAAGCCGCAGCCATTATCGGTACCTCTCTCTCTGCCTCCTGTCTGCATCTCAAGATGTGAGCTCTCAGCTACCGCTCCTGCACAGGCCTGCTGGCCACCTGGCCATCATGCTCCCCTCCCTGATAGTGATGGACTCTAACCCTGTGAAACAGCAACCACACACACACACACACACACACAAAACAAAACACCTCTTGCTTCTACAAGTTGCCTTGGCCATGGCGTCTTGTCATGGCAAACAAAAAATAAAATGAGTAAGACACCACACGATGAAGGCAGTCGTTGGAGTGGTGCGTGTATAGGTCTAGGACACTAAGGGCTGTCACCTCTAGTAGGAGCTGGGCAAGAGAGCGGAACAAATAGTCCCAAGAATCAGTCGCACTAATTGATGCCTTCATTTCATGCTTCCAGTTCCAGTCCTGAGAGAGAGCGTACTCCCAAAGTTCCAAGGCGTTCCAGTCACCCTCAGAATCCGACACATGCAGATCACCTGTCAGGAGGTCCAGTTACACTACAGCCACTACACAGACTTAATGCACCTGGCATACAAGGTGGGCACGTGTGTGTACACCCAAAGCAACCCATACAGGTTTTACCGGATCAAGAGAGCCGGTCAGAGCAGAGCTCACCTTGCACACTGTGGGGGGCCAGTGCTGGGTCATAATTAGTTTCTTCCACTCGTGGCCGCCACTGTGAAGAGACAAATGTATTTTTCAGGAATGTTTTAAAGTGACAAACGTCCACCCATCCAATCGACCACTCTTTGGACATGGAATCTATAGGACTAGACATAGTTCTAGGGACAAACTCCCCTACCTCCTGAAGCACACGCCACAGAGCAAGGCAGAAAACAAACGAATAGCATGGCACGTATTTGTGTGTGAGGGAGAACGCAGACACAGCCAGAAGAGGGTGGGCTGTAGCCAGGAAGGTCTGCTGGTGAAAAGGAACTGAGCCATAAGTTGCCTTCCCAGGATGTTCGGGCGGTTCATGAGCACTGACTCACAATCCCTCAGCTATCTTTGTGAACCCCAGGCCCTGAAAACTTACCCTTTTCCCTCTAATTCAAGCGGCGAAACAAACCACGGCCCGAGAAAACACTACCAATACCCTATTCGGAGTTTAGCTTCACCTAACCCTGATCACAGGCTGCCACTTCAGAGACCATCGTGGATACGAATGTCACCTAGAGCCTGGTCCGTGCGTGATCCCTGGTCACGTGCATTGGACACAGTGTAACCTGGGTAAGGAGCCTTGTTACAGGTTAGCTAGGGTATGGAAATGGCATGGGCTCTATGCCTTGTCACATGTTACCTAGACTACAGTATGCACACCAAGGGGCTTATATCACAAGCCTATGAGCTGAGGCTCCCCCATCCAGAGACCTCACACAGGGACTCTGGAGCTGTCGTGCGGTTGTCCCCAACGGTCCCTATGTTAGAGGCAGAGTTTAAGCAACAGTGGTTAGATATGGGACCAGCTGGGATTCATTATGTCCCTGGTGGCATGCCCTTAGGAGGATTATGGTAGTTCTCCTGGGAATCGAGACATCTGGTTAGGCTTTTATGGCCTAACCAGATGAAGAAAGCCTTCTCCACAGAAGAGATAGGACACACAAAGTTAAAGCTCTGGCCATCCCGTAGCAGAAACTTTCTCTGCAATTTTTACATGAGCCAGGGAGGTAAGACAGCAGCGGCCTTGGAACAAACCTCAACCAAACTATCTCTATTCAGACAAAAAGATAAAACACCTCAGGCCTCACCTACTCCAATACTCCAGGTCAAAGACACAGGGAAGCTAAAGGGAGACCCACCTAACACAACGGATTCGCCTGGCCTTGGGGCTTGAATTCCCTGGTGCCTAATCATTCTTTCAGCTGCATACATTACGCTGGTTATAGGAGAATTGCACACTGCAACCTAGGGTGCCCTCAGCTGACATTCATTGCTCCAGGTGATATATACCTTAGCTGCTCACAGGTACCAACCGTGTCGCGAAGGGCAGGTCTGCGAGTAGGTGGGGCTCCAAGGTCACACTCCTAGACAGGGACTAACTTTTGTGCACACATACACACCCCGCACACCACGTCCCGCCCTGGGATGGGCCCTGCCTTAAAAACAGATAGGAAAGCAAACAAATGCAACCGCTTTTCAGTTACTCTCTGGGAACACGGTACTTCTAGCGAGCAACTAAGCCCCCCCTCTTCCGCTCCAGCGGTGTAAACACGGAAAGCTTTTGCTAAAGTTACATACAACGCAGAGGAGCGGGGAAAGTCAGAATGTGTTGCCGGGATTAACCTGGCAGAATTGAAGCAGAGACGATCAGAGCTAGCCGGTGCGTCCCAGAGAGACCGAAGGGGCGCGTGCGAGCGCGCGGAGGTTTGGGGAGGGAGGGGGGGGTAGTTGGTGAGGACGAAAGACTTGAAAAAGAAGAAGAAGGGCATCATCCTCCGGCTCGAACCCAGCCTCCAACGCTGCGGGCATGCTCGCCACCCCGCCGGCGCTCACCTCCACAGCGGGACCGCCCCGCACAGGCACCACAGCGCCAGGCCCCAAGCCAGCACGGAGACCCAGCCCGGGAGCGCTCCGCGAGCCACCGCCGGCGCCATCGCGCTGCCCAGGGCTCCACGGCCTCCCAGCAGCCTTCGCGCGCCAGCACCGGCACAGCTGCTGGACCGACAGACGGACGGACCGACCGCTACCGCCGCTGCAAGGAGGAAGAAGCCTTCTGCCAGTCGGAGCCACGCCCCGGGTCCCCGGGCGGACACGCCCCCCACAGCCCCGCCCAGAAAAGTCCCGGGGCTCCAGTTCCGGACGCCGGACCTGCGGGACGCGCTCGCCCGGGAAGGACCCACGCTGCAGGGGCAGCTGCAGACCACCTGATCCCGACCGACTCGCTCGCCCGCTCGCCCCCAAAGCAAACGCTCCCTTTTAAGGGACACGCCCCCCTCGCCCCGGCCCACCTGACCGACCTCACCTGCTGCACCTCGTGCCCTGCACCCTGCGGGCCGCCCCCAGAGTCACGCCCCCTCCTCGTGCAGCCCATCCTCCCACACCCCCGGTCCCTCCTGTGTAGGAGCTGCACTGTAGCCAAGGACACGTAAAACTGTGGCTTAACACGAAGGCATAGCTGACTTAAAACATGAGGGTTTTTTTGTTTTGTTTTGTTTTTGTTACTGTTTTGCAATCATGATTCCCTAGGATAAGCGTAGAGGATAATACATTGTGTCACACTGTCAAAAGTCTAGATAATGCAGACACCCACGGTTCTGTTTTGTCTCTCGTGGATAAAAATAACTATAAATCACCCCCCCCCGAAACAATACCCCGAATCCTACTTCAGCCACTATTCTGTCTGTTTAAACATCTCAGAGAAGCCTGCTTTGACTCAGGCCAACAAAAGTCAAACCTGCACTTCCTAAGGCTAGGTGTTATTAGGGATGGTTGTGGCAGGGGGTTGACTGTGACCTACCCACCCGCAATCATGAATAGTCTCTGTGAATCTCCTGGCTTAGCACAAAATGTTGGGGTGTGGCTTTACGGCTGTACCAGAGAGCAACCTCTTCTTAGAGAGTGCCAGCCGAGGCCCCCTCTGCCTGGGTAGAGAGGAGCTTAGCCATCCATGGCTTGGAGCAATGGGCCTGCCTTTTATTTAGGTCACAGTGAGCCGCTTTCCAGAACCCAAAGAGTGAGGGTTTTGGTTTTGTAACATTTGCCATCGTTTGTAAGGAACCACTCAGGCATTTATTCTCAGCTTCAATAGTAAGCCAGGCATCAGGGAGGCGGAGAAGTTCTGGGGGTGAATGGCTCCCATAGCGCAGTGTGAGGGGACAAATGATGAGGTTTAAGGGATGGATGGGCTTCTGCTCGCGATTTCCCAGGGATGGGCACGGTGAACCAGGCAAATTAACTGGCTTCTTTCCAGTCTGCTTTTCCATGCCATGTGGCGTGGACAGAAAGTGTCAGTGACGGGCTCGGGAACCATTATACACCCAGTCCTCTGGAAGACTGCTTGGTGGTTTATATCTCCTAGGACAGAGGCTGGGGACCGGCAAATCAGGGTTTCCCCGTGGAACTGCCTTGGGCTTGACTGTAGGCTTCTGTGTGTGTGTATGGTTCCTGCTTTATCCCATATTCTGAAGAGCTTTGTCATACGATGGGGGGTCTCACTTTAAACCCCTCTGTAGTCTGTGTCTTGAGAAAAGCCAGCTCTGGTTTGTTCTGCCTGTTTTCTCCTTGGGGTGCTTTGCCGCGTGACCATGTGAAGTTGGCTATTGTGGGATGGATTTTATAGTTCTGTATTCCGAGCTATGGCTACGACAAAACAGGTGTTCCTTGAAATGTCATTTTTTTTTCTTGTAGATGTCACGGAGATAACTAGAGCCACAAGGATGAAGCAGAATAAACCAGACGCCCTGATGCTCTGCCATGTGAAAAACGTTATTTTTTATTATTCCACAGTCAAGTTCTGCACCTCTGACCAAAATATCATCTACAAAATTTTACCCTAAAAAAAAAAAAATCTATTATCTGTATATTTCTGACTCATTTTACAAAGGATATTTACTCTTGGGGGAAAAAAAAAGACAACTGTGCTTACTCACATGCAGTCATATGTACAGACGCCCACATGCACCTATAAACACTCCTACGTGGGTATTATGAAAGGCTGTTTACTTGACTTTTTTTTAAGCATCATCTTGAGGGAAATAAGCCAGCCATAGTAGACTCCGCGTGAATGCGGGGGCAAGGTGAGCACCCAGGCCCTGCCCCTCCCCTCCAGAGATGCTACAACCTTGGCCTGGTTTCCTCTGTCTTGGGACCCTGGCTGAAAAATAAATACTGGGCACTTTCAAATGACCTTCACCAAGGTCCCCGTTAAAGGCTGGCCCACATAAGGGACTCCTTCTGTCCTGGTACCCAGCCTCTGACACTCCCTCTGACACTGTTGAAAGTTGACTCCCACTGTGAGGTATTCACAGACTAGAGACTGAATCCAACCTTGGATTGTAGGGCGGGGCTTATGGGGACTGAGTATGGTCGCAGGCAGAAGGCTCCCAATTGTATCTGTGGCTGGAGAAGGAGAGAGAGAGAGTTTAGAGGATGAGTACACAAGATGGTTCCTGTTCCCACGATGCTACCAGCACCACCTTGGGACAAGAAAACTGTCAATGACCAGGGTTAGTCTGTGGTATTGTGTCACTAACAACAGAGAGCAGACCTAGAGGACCTGAGACCCTGGGAAGCAATTAAGCCGCCCAGATGTTGCATTTCTATCAATGTGATAAAATACATCCAAAGGAACAAACAAAATGAAGAAATGTGTATTTGGGCTCCAGGGTTAAGATGTATCAGGCCAGGGCCAATTTGTTTTGCTATTCCGTGGTGAAGCAGAACATCTTGTTGGGAGGGCGTGCTGGGAGAAATGGGGGGGTAGGGTTAAAATCTAGGCCAGAAGGCAGCCTAGACTCCTCAAATAGGCTTTACCAAATAGAGTTCCAATCAATTAGAAAGCCCTCAATGAGTAAGCCATCGATGAGCTCAGAACCCTCAGGATCCAGTCAGAAATCCCATTGGCTGGCAACCAAGATCTTAGATCCATACTGTAACATTCCCATCATACTGTAGGTGGTGGTCAGCGTCTGGATCAGGTGTCTCCAGGCTTTTGCGATCTTTCTTGTTCAAAGAATTAAAAGCTCACACAAATTGCAAAGCAGCGAGGAAACACTCCTCTAAGCAAAGCAATAATACAGGTTAAAGAAAAACTGTCAAGATCGACAGCAGGCTCTAACGTGCTCGGGAGAAGGACGCGTTTGGCCACATAGGAAGGGTAGCTGTCTATTTTGATTGACAGGCTTTTAAGTTATACAACCTTCTCCCTACCATGCATATCACGTCCTATGATGCACCTGATTTTTAAGCACGCATGTACCCAATTATGCACAGACAGTAATAGGGGATTTCTCCTTACACGTTCACTCTGAAGACACAGTTTGCCTTATTGCACACACGTGCCCAAAGCAAACAGGTCAGATCAGCCCTCCCACCTTCAAACCTTTTCATAACTGGAATAGGATAGAATAGAATGTCTAAGGTTGATGGTTGTTATGAGAAGAAGAAATCCATTGCTTCTTCTCTTATTTCCGCTGTTCAAAGAGGGATGTGCATGCAGGTTGGTGCAGGTAGGGGACCTACGTTGATGCAGGTTCTTAGATGCTTCTTTCAGAGAGGGGAGTGTGTGTCGAGAATGTGCAGGTCAGGATCTCAGGCTACAGTCTAAGCCAAATAGGATCCTATGCTGTTGAACTGTCCCCTATTCTTCCCTGACTCGAAGCCTTGTCCAACTTTGCAACCCACAGAATGTACCCAATGCCTGTGCAAGCCACTAAGCTTTGGGGGTAATTTGTTGCGTCGTCATGGCAACTGGAAGAAAAGATTGTCAATAGAAGAACAGACAAATGGGATAGCATGGAAGACACATTTCTTTGAACTTGACTGTCTCGTGGACTTGACCTTGGCCTGGTGTATACGTTCTTTATAATTATGAAGCAAAACTTGATGCTTAAATGGCAACGCCTAATAACAAAAAAAAAAAAAAAAAAAAAAAAAAAAAAAAGGTAGAAGGGTTGTGTGGAATGAGACATGGGTTGGTTGCCACGTCTCACAGTAGGATATTTCATAAGGAAACCAAAACCAAACAAAGCAGCAGAGAAATCTTAGACTGCCTTCAGTTTCCATTTTGTCAATGATTACATAATACAATGAATCCAAATACATAGAGCAAATAAGTAATGACGGTGATGGTAGGGATAGCTGGTGTTTAGAGGGATGAAGAGAATCAAAAATTGGATGAGAGAGATGGCTCAACTGGAAAGTGCCCCCTGCCAACCTGGACAAACTCGAGTTTGAGCTCCAGAACCCCGGGGGCGGAAGGAGAGAACGGACTTTCTGGAACTGTCCTCTGACCCCAGTGATAATGAGCAACTCAGGGCCATAAGCCCCTTAGGACAAGAGCATCTGAGTTCACATCTTCACTGAAAGGAGCCAGGACCTCTTAGAGAAGCCTGCCTTTGTGGGGTAGCAGAGGAATGCCTTCGATTGACCTCCAGCGCTGTGCCAGATGCACCTCGGGTTAGCCAAGCAACCTGGAAGCCCCCATCATCCTAACTGCGTGGGATACAGCGGGACAGACGCTAGCACGGCTTCATGCAGCCTTGAAGTCTGGCACTGCTCTGCCCTTTCTGCTGTTTGGGGCTGCAGGTCATGACACTCAACATGTTTGGTTGTTTGCAACATGAGCCTTTTAGCCTCCCGTTCCACAGCCATGGTTTTCGCGTGCTTACTCCACTCCGAGTTCACTCTGTCAAGCGGGGCTGGTGGTTTGGAATTCTGTGTGGACCCCCACAGCCAGGCTCACGGAGAAGGACTTCTCCTCGCCACTAGGCTAGTCCTTTCTAACCCTGCTTGGGAGACGGCGATGGGAGATGGTCCTGTTTGAGTTCACAGTGTCATTTGTGGATCTCACTTGGGATGAGGGACTCCTTCATCTTGCTTCTTTGTGTTTATGGGCTTTCCCACTTTCCTTTAATGTCTTACGAGCATTTGGCCACGGATTAACAAGGGCGTTCTGTTTTGTCTAAATGGCACCCTGCTCCATCTTCAAAATATAACTAGTCATTAAAGTAATTCTCCCTGGTCCCTGG